TCTTCCTGTTAAAAGGGAGTTTTTCCTCTCCACTGTCACTACGCTTATGGTTTTCCTTAGATAGAAAACCTTTAATCAATCTGACTGGATGATCTGGTTGAACTGTAAAGGGCCTTGAAATGACATGTTTTGAATTGGCACTATATTAATAAACTGAATTAAATAGAATTTCAGCTTCAACTTAGATGCTTCAGCTTCATGAACCGTCATCCTTTTACCAACTAGATCCACACAGAGCAAGCATGTCTTTGGTTAAACTTTTTCCACAACCTTCAATTTGTGAAGACGAAGGCCTGTTGACCTCAGAGGTGGAGCCAGCGACTCTGAGCTCAGAGAGGATGGATCAGTTCTCTAACGAGCTAAAGAAGAATCAAGCCTGGTGACAGCAGCTGTGATGGTAGGCGGGCAGGTCATGGTATGGGCTTGTTTTTACTTAATGGAAAGCAGCAATGGTGCAGAAAAATCCAGAAGACATTGCAGCGCAACAGCTGCAACTTTCAAGACATCTTCTCCAGGGACATCCATGAACCCTCCACCCAAACCACTGAGGAAGAGGAGGAAACGGCTGCTGCCCTCAGTCTTCCTCAGAGATCCTAAGAGCTGACCTCCTGATGTTGGAAATTTTTTACTGGGGCTTCATCAATTCCAACGTTTGCAAGGCAGGAAAATAAATCAAAGGAACAATCATTCCATCCATTGATGGGTGGAATGATTAAAAGGAAAAAGGAATGATTAAAAGGAAGAAGAAAATCTGTTGCTGTATACCAAAGCAAGCCTCTAGACATGAGGTGATTTAAACTGATCGCAGAGATTTGAGTTTGTTTCTGTACTGCCAACAGGATAAGTTAACAGAGGTTACCAGTTGGGAAGGTGCCGTAGTAGAAAGAGGTTTTCTCGTTCTTTGTCCAGTCAAAGTCTCCTCCTGCTGAAACACACAGCACCAGTGCAAGCAAAGGGGCCCACTTCAGGATTCCTCTGTGCAGCATCGTCATTCACACCTGCAAGACAGACAATCAGCCTGATTTAGCATCTCTGCATCAGATGCTCCAGGAGCCTGATAAGAACAGAGACCCAGTCTCTGTTCTCTGATCTAAAGGAGGAGCAGCTTCATCTGAACAGCTCCAACATAGAAAGCCATATGAGATAGAAGGTAGGACAGCTTGTTCAGTATGGCGAGGATAAGAGGCATTTAATCCACTCAGACCCAAATTCTGACCTGCTGCGTTTTTCTCTGCAGCTTCCAGGATGCAGGGAAAACCCTGAAGCTTCTGGGCCGCTCCACCGCCTCCTTCCCTGCAAGCGGGCAACAAAAACCAGAGTGAAGCATCCAGGAGGTTTTCTGCTATGATCAGCGCACACTGTGGGCCGACCCCTCCCCACTAACTCGCTGAATGCCCCCCCTCATTTGGAGCCACCAGACTGTGGCTGCAAATCTGCTGGACAAACAGATCTGAGGGAGAATGGAGGCGTTTTTACTCTGTAAGCAAACTGAATGTTACTGCAGCTCATCCTACGTGGCTTCCTGCTCCACGGCCATGAGGAAAAGAAACCACGCCCTCCTCCAGCTCCTAACAGAAATGCTCTGATCATTAACAACAGATTCCAAACTCTCATTATTTTCTACTATTTAAGAAAAGTAAAACCAAAGTCTAAAACTAAGTACGTCATTGCTGCTTCCATGTTATTAAAGAAAGAAAATAGCAACAAGATGCTGCTGATCGCATGCAATAATTAATCAGAGCTC